CCCCCCCCCCCATCTTCTCTCTCTCTCTCTTTCTTCCGCGCGCATCCGCAACTTATCCGGAATTAAACCCCGAAATTATACCGGTTTTAATCCCCGATAAGAACTCGGTAGAAAGAGGAACGTGTAATTTCGACGAGCGAATGCTCGGCGATTAATTGGATTTTAAATTAAGGTCACGTTATCCCGCGGACAAGAGTACGGGAAAAATCAAAACGCGCGAAAGAGAGGGCCGCGTATGTCGCGTACGTTACGACTCACCCTGTGTGGTGTGCATTCGTCGCAAACGGTTAAATATTTATGCACACGAGCTCGCACGTGCGCGCGCGCAATTTAGGAATATAAATATTTACGTCGCAAATTAATGATAATATCTAAAATGAAAGTAAATTATCGACACGTTCGAATAATAATAATCGCGGTGAAATTGATATTATGATTATTATTGCGAAAATATCGACCTCTGACTTTTCCGACGACAAGGGGCGGGAAGTTACCCTCGGCCGTACATATCGAGGCCGCCGTACGTTCCTCCGATAAACTCCGAAATGCTCGTTACACAATATGCCAACTGTGCTTAATTGCGTTCGGGGAGCGAAATATCTCGGATATGAGGGACGGAGGGGATTACATTTTAGAAGCTAATTTATTTTCAACCCCTGTATCCCAGCCCCTACGGCGAGAGCGCGTAATTCTCCTGATTAAGGGTGAATAAAATGACGTTTAAACTTGGTATAATCCCGCTTCCAAAGTTCCGCCGATCGATAGCAGAAACAAGATCGCCCCTTTCGTCTTCGCGTCAGCATCGTTTCGATGATAACGCGACGACAGGCGCATGTATATAAGTGTGTGTGTGTGTTTTGTGAACTTTTTGTTTCTATCTTCCTTTTTTACCGTCGCATATACCTGCACGACAGTCGCGCCGGTTTGCAAGATGAAGGAAGTGACGATCATCGGAGCTTCGCTGGAGGAGTCCGTGAAAGTGCGTTGCGAGGTGGACGCCGACCCGAGCGAGGTCGACTTCGTCTGGGAGTTCAACAACAGCGGCGAGAATTTCGAGGTTGCGCCGGCCAAGTTCGACGGCAACAACGGCACGATGAGCGAGCTCGTCTACACTCCGGAGTCCGAGAGGGATTACGGCGCTTTGACCTGCTGGGGTAGAAACGCGATAGGGAAGCAGGAAGCGCCCTGTATCTATCAGGTCATTCCGGCAGGTGAGGATATTTCAAATAATTCTTTCCACGGTTATTATCTCTTCTTTAACGCGCGATGAGGAAAAATGTCTTTTCGCAGAGAGAAAAAGGTTCCTTTGGATTTAACACTTCTATTTATTTGACGAAAATTTGTTTCATAGAAACAACACATACGAAGTATTATTTGTTTGAGTACAAATTTTATCGTCTCATTCAAACAAATTCTATTATTTAACAGAAAGAACGCTATTATTTGAAATAATATATCATTTAACCAAATAGAATATTATTCGGTCACAATAATTATGTAAAACGAAACAAATAATTTCTTTATAAGAAAATTATTTTACGTTTCAAACAAGTTTTTCTTTTTATTTAAGATAAAGATTCGTTGAAATAAAAAAAAGCATGTCAATGACGAAATTTGTTTGGATGCGAAGGATTTTATTAAATTTGAAGAAATTTTTTCTCAGCGCAGAAAAAAGATTTGCTGTTATAATTGGAACCTCGTCGAGCAAATCTATGACCGTGATGCACAGGCAGCCAATATAATTAATTTGTTTTGCGAACTTAAATTAGTTTGAAATGCAAAATTTGACTTGTATGTAAGTACAATATTTCAAACGATATCTACAGAAATGGATTTGATTTCAACGAGCGGATTGATTCTGCTTGTTTCCTCGTCAATGTATATACATCTCTCTTCCCGCTCTTCTTCACGTGTCGGCAAGTGTCAGGAGTATTCCCCGAAAGTGGCACATTTGGCGTGACAGAACCACCCTTCGATTGAAACTTATCGATTCTTAATGAAAACGACCGCGAAGAGGCTCTGCCATGACGTGAGAACGTATCCTGTGTGCAGTGAAACCGAATCCGCTGAACAACTGCACGATCAAGGCCTCGCTGAATCAGAGCGCGGAGATCTTGGAGGTGGAGTGCGTGCCGGGCTACGACGGTGGACTTCACCAGGAGTTCCGGCTGGAGGCTTACGAGGTGCTGACCGGCAACCTCCGGGTGAACGCGTCCAGCGTGTCGGCCGATCTGCCAATCTTCCGGATCGCCGTGGCGGACCTGCTGCCGGCCACGCACTTCTACCTGGTGACGTACGCCGTGAACGCGAAGGGCCGCAGCGAAGTGTCGCTATTGGAGGACATAATGCTGCGCGACTCGGAGAAACATACTGGTAATCGAATAAATATTTTTTTTTTTAATTCTTTGGATATTTTTTCTCTCAGTGTAGGAAAGAGTATATCATGCATAACGTCGACTATTCTAAGTTATATTTAGAAATGTTTGTTAGGAAACGTTAAAAGGATTCTAATCGCTTCTCGTTCTAATGGAATCGAGTTACGAATATAATTTCAGCGATATGAATTTGTATTTCCTTCTCTTTCCGACTCTTATTGTACAAAGTTTCGTTTAAAAACGTTCATTAGAAAACGTTAGGAGGATTCTAATCACTGTTCAATCGAATCAAATCGCATCATAAATAACTTCAACTATGTGGACAGCGAATATTCACACTTTTTTCCTCGCGGAACACGAATCGTTATTAACAATACAGTGTATATTATATCGGGTTCCGTTATATTGAATTAAGCTATATTGTATAATAACATTTCGCGTTTAAAATACATTTTTAACGAGAGAGGAAAAATGTATTTAAAGGAAACACACACATACGGAAATTACTTGAGACTGAACCGAATAAGAAAAGTTTTTCCAGAGATGTTGAAATTAAATTTTCATCATATCTCATGTTTTTCTTTCTTTTCATGTAGACATAGATTTGCGTGGAAATTCCACGTAATTCCCCAGTTATTTATATAGCGGCGTATAGTAAAATAAAATGATAATAGAGTCGCACAAAGTATATTAATAACATAAGAAGCTTTTACGTTTTTCTAAAAATATATGACTTGGAACGTTAGTCTTCGCATATGTGTGTGTGTGTGTGTGTGATTTTAAAATGTCTATCTAAAATTTCTGTTAACGTATTGATCAAATCCCGAATTATAAAATGTATTCTTAAATTCATCGTAGAAAATAAGATAAATTATGCAAAATTAATAATCCGTAAAAACCCAAAGTCGACAGAATATCGACAGATCAAATAAAGAATGAAATTTATCCTCTTTTAATTAAACATGCAATATTAGCAAATTATTTCCGATCAATTTATTTTGGATGTTAGTTCCTTTTAACCATTCCCGATAAAACCGTGGGAAAATAGAAAGATATTTAATTTACATTTTAAAATTTATTACCAATTTTGCTTGTTATTGAGACCTACATTTACAATTTCGTGAAATGAGCGTGCGTTATTTTCTTTCATAATCGATTCGCAGTGATATATCCATAGCAACAACAATCTACCAAGGGAAAGAACTATGTTCATTTGCAACGGTGATGTTTCATGTATCGCAAACAGCTGTCATATTTATCTAATACAAGATAAACATGTATAAATTAGGGCTTTAACAGAAGTAATTACAAAATAAAAAAAATATTTATATCTGTGTATTCACATACAATTAATTTATCTATCATATATTTTATCTATCGTACATTTTCACATCATATATTTTATTAAATTTAGTGTAAATGGAATGAGCGTCACAGCTTAGAACGTCAATAAATTTAACATGCGTCGCGCATATGTGCGACAGCGATAATTTCTCGTAGTTAATTTTTTATTTCCATATGCGTAAGGGCAATAATAATTATATTTCGAGTAGAAGCAATAATTTCTCCGATTGTGCGACGGTTCGCAAAATTTACGACGTTAAATGTTCCAACAGCCGAATATTTAACAAACCACGACCAAGATTGCTTAATTTTTATTAGGATATATGCAGGATATTTAATGGCCGAATTATATGATCAACTGAAAGCTGAAATATAAAAATTTATAAATAACGAGTAAAAGATATAAAAAGTTTGTAAATTATTTAAAAAATGAAAAAATGTTGAAACTTAGAAGCAGATCATATCCGAACAAAGTCTCGTTCCGAATGTTAAACTTTCCGGACTCAATATCCAAACTTGATTATCGCTTAAAAAAAATTATTAATCATCTACTGATGACGATTTTACGGTCATAATAATGACAATATATTTATGAACATTTTATCAAATTTATCAATTAATTTATATTTATATAACTTATATTTGATATAAAATATTACATTTAATATTATTTTAATTATGTATATATACCCAGTGAACATCGATTAACAGTAACATAATATCAATGTTAATAATTTCCCACTCAACAACGTAGCTGTTATATGACGCGCATTTTATATCGCACTTATATCGTTGAGTGAATTATAACGCTGACGTTATGTTACCGTTAATGTTCATTGTGTATATATAGAGGGTGTCTCACACCTTTCTCGGTGTTCCCGTGGTGGCAGATAAAACGGGTGTAAAAAATTAAGGTGCGTCTAATAACATGGCCGGGGACTTTACAAGGACGTGTCTGGCGATCGGATACTTTTACGATTAAGTACCGTCGCGTATCGCCCGCTGTCGCGACATTTACGCGCCGTTTCGCTTTCAGACACCGGCGTCAGCATGCTGCCGCTGATCCTGCTGCTGATCGGCTGCCTGATCGCTTTCGGAGTGACGGTTCTCTCGGTGATGCTGATGATGTATCGCCGCCGCGGCACCACGTCACCGGTGCACATCGAGCCGTACATGAAGCAGCCAATAATCACACCACCGGACTCGCGGAACAACTCGATGCTGGACGTGACCCACGGCGACCACACGTACTTCGTCGAGTACACGTTGAAGCAGGTCACCGATTACGCGCTCAATAATCAGCCGGATATCATACAGTCGCCGCAAGGTAATGCCGAGCGTCGCGATCGAAACGTAACGTACATATAACGTACGTACGTAATAAAACGTACGTAATAAAACGTAACATACGATCGAACAACGCGATAATTTTTTGCCGACGCGATCTGACTCGACCGGGTCGTCGACGCTCACGAAAGCTGATAGGGGAGACCGGGGGTGGGTTCGCAAACCTTTCAGAATTCCACCGTTCGAACTTCACAGGCGACTAATCGTTGCGATTGACGGGGCAAGGGTGATGACAGGGACAACCTGATTTAATGTTTCCCTACACATTGAGAAAGAGATTTCTTCGAGTTTAATAAATTTTATTACATCTGAACCAGGAGTCCGGACCGAATGAAAATATCGATCCGGTTCCGGTCCACTAAAATATTAACACGTTCGCTATCAGAGTCTGAGAAGAAAATCTTGCGCCACAGTCCAACATTTTTTTCTTAAATGCTTTCCTAAAGAGATAATCTAGTGGAAACTTTAAAATGGGACAAAAAAACGTCCATGACGGACACGCCGGCATATGCAACGAGATTTATTTTAATTCGTTGAGAATTGCCGTTCCGGAAACTGCCGGCTGCTCGTCGACCGATGTGAAAAACGGACTGATGTGAATGTTTCAGACCAAGAGAAGATCAAACGCGAGCCGCAACTGTTCCTGCCGGTGAGACCGGATACGTTATTCGCGCCCTACGACATTCACAAGCAGGGTTTGCAGACGAACAGATGCAGCGTGAGTAATCCCTAGGAGAGATTTTTTCAAGTTTCCCTCTTGCGAGAACGAGAGAGAGAGAGAGAGAGAGAGAGAGAAGCCTTGTACTGAGGTAGGGACTGTAAATCGCGAGTTGGCAGCCGAAACTTACTGCGGTCTGCGTAAGTCACATTCTTCGAGTGTCACGCCGATATATCGGTATCGGATATAATTTAAATTCCGCAACGCCGCAGTCGCAAATAGAATTCACTCGAATCTGTCGCGGTCAGTGTAACCGAAACTTAATATCGGGAGATACGTTCCGACTTTCTCCTCACTAACGAAACGCTTTACGTAATAATTTTCCAATTAGCCCGGGAAAGATTCAGGGTGAAATATAACCCCGGGTCGGGTCCTTCAGTTCCTTCTCGGCAGATAGGAAGAAGCTCGATAATTCAAGAGAACTCCGCGATTCGGAAGATCAGAAATTTAATCTATCGTAGATTGGGCTTTTATCGACTTATAAATTAAACCAACTCAATTCGGCCTCGGTAACTCCTTTACAGTGCCGGATCTCGCGGCCGGATATCTCAATTTTCTCAAGAGTGTTATGAATAATATCGACTCCTTCGAGGCAGCCGGGCGATCCTCGCGGTATCGCATCCGCGGCCGTTCTAACACTTAGACTGCCACAGCCCTGTCCATATTATTAGATGCACCTTAATTTTTTACGATTCATTCTATCGATCGAATTATGTAAAGGAACCGTTATTCTATAAAAGATATTTTTTATGACGTCATTTCACTCGACTGTTACGATAACTTCGAATCCGCGCTAGTTGCGTTGATGATAATAACGATAATAACAGGAACCAACGTGTTTTGAGTGTCAATTGAAATTTAGATTCATTTTTGTTTATTCATGACCTCAAATTCCTCGTTTACTAACTGGAAAAATAAATTTTTGTGTGAAAAATATTAATACTGTTTACAAAAATTATGGGTAAAGCAAGTGATTTGACATCTCAGAAGGTTGCAAAGGTAAAAGCGCTGTTTGACGTCATTCTAATCTGGCAAACCTTTGAAACTAGGAAGTCTAAATATCCTTAATTCTTCTATTCGCTCAATTGTCACGCGAGCGCTCTCTCTCTCTCTCTCTCTCTCTCTCTCACTATTAATTATTAACAATATTTAAATGAGCCGAATATTTCTTCCACAGTTGAACCCGTTCTCCGCGAAGTCCTGGGAGCCAATTAGCTTCAAAGCCGATCGCAATTTGATGAAGGAGATCATCATCGCCAATTCCATACCCGGTCCCGAGAGCTGCGTGTAAAAACTCGACCGCAAGAGTACAGTGAATCGAAAGACATATGCGCGAAAAAACAAATATACATACATACGTACATTCATACGCATGCAGTCAGTGGAAAAATGGTCACGATACTTGGAACCTCAGTGAACCTCAGAACGTATCCGGTATCTAATAGGAAAAACTTCAACTTCTAGTTGGTTAGTTAGATGACCCGCCAAAGTTCAATTAGACTAATCAGTGATAATCGGAAGAACTGCCAACAAAAATGTCTAGCTATGTAATTTGTCATCTAACAAATAGTAAAAAATTAATAATTCTGTTAGCTACGTTAGCAAAATAAATCGGTTAATGTTTGAGTAACGGCAATTTTAAATTAAGCTGTAAAGTGGAGACAAGACAAGAGAAGAAATTTCTTGCTCCTTACGATAACAAATTATATTTCGGTTTCTATGCCGGCAACTCCATCTGCTAAGTTAATTTTAGCAATCGGCTTCGTCAGAATTCAGCAAAAGTCGTCCCGATAATTACTAAGAAAAGAGCTTCTCCTGTTAGGTGAGGACGCGTCGCGAAACTCGCGTTGAAGAAGAGAAAGGAAACATGCGAGCCTTTTTCCACTGACCGTATGCAAGTGTCACACACACACACACACACACGTAAACATACGTACATATCACAGGACGATCGATTTTGAAAGCCTGAAGACTATCGCTTCGCGATCGAGACCAGAAAGCTGGATCGCGCGCGCGCGCGTGTATCAACGCGAAATCAACGAATCTCTCACGTCGCTTGTTTCAAACGCGCCGATGTGGTGACATATCACGACGATATCGTAGCAGACATATCAGCAATCGTATCGTAGCATATCGTGGCGCGCCGCGCAACCATCTCCCGAGATCAACGGTTCCCTGGACCTTTGCCAAAGCGCGAGGATCGCATCCCGGGGCCGGACGAGGAGAGGGACAGTTCGCAGATTGAAGGACGTCGCGAGGGACGATTTAGTCGCATAACTTAACCGAACGCTACACATGGTGTACTATTCCAAGTTTAATATATTTTGTGTCAAGTCTTGAGGTGTCTCGTCATTTCTCCAGCGCGCACCTTCCTCGCAAACGATCCAACGAACTATAAGCGCGTAATATTATTTAACATTAAATAATATTCTGGGCATATTCCTAGAATATTAAACGTAATATTCTAGTAATATTATTTAATATTAAGTAATATTTCTGGAATATTAATACATGGTTATATGACCCATGCTTAATATGAAAAAATAATCTTATTTAATGTTATTGTAATATTATATTGTAATGTTATATATCTTTTAAATTCAATTCCACATATATATATATATATATAATAAATTGACCAAATTGATAAATTATTGTTGTCCAGTAACTTTATTACTCGTACGAATAATAAAATTACTGAGCAACAGTAAATTATTACTGGCCAATTTATCATAGGCAGTAACACTTTTCTGTAAGGGATTATACCGGTGATCTGAGATTTTATTCATTTTTCGATACTTTTTCGGCTGTATCTTCGCGAAAAGTGAACGGAGAGAAAAACGTGTTTTCAATGCAACATTATATCTTATTAAAAGTCAAAGACAATATATTATTCTTTCAAGACGATAAAATTTATTGAAACCAATAATATAAATATATAAGTAGATACATGAATCAGGCATATGTATTCCGTGTATCTCGTACAAAAAGAATTATTCTTACGATCGTTGGTTACGATTAATTGAGGCCCTCTCTGTTTTTCTTATCTGTTGTAAATTAAGAAGGGAACCGAGCGAACCTTGATTAATTTAACCGACGGTCTTCGTCTAATGGACGACGTGCGGACGAAAGTGTGTCTAAAACAGCGAGCGTTTAGCGCGTGTATATTTAAGGGACGACAAGAAGCAGGGACCGTACACCAGAGCGGACCAGACCATCACGGCGACCACAGCGGCCGCTAGTATCAGATACGCCCGATGACGAACGCGGCTCAGGATCCGCAGCATCCACTTGCGGTCCTCCACCGCTCTCTCGGGAAACACCGTGCGGCGCGACGCCGTCACTGTATTCTGGAGATTGTGGTCATTATAGAACAACCGTTTATCCGATGTAGTCGGTTAATTATAACGAGACATGTAAAACTCATTTGTATTATCTCCCGTTATCTCTCGACTCGATTAATATTTTCTATATACGACTCGTTATTATTACCTTCAAAGATCATTTTTTAAACGATCGTTAGTTCTTTCTTTTGATAAACTGTCGCCAACGATTTCTCTTCCCAGAGAACGTCACGACCCAGTAAACATACAGTTCCGAAAAGTTCACGTCGTAAGGACGTTCTAAATTCCTTAGACGTCTTTCGAGCATTTCTGTTCACTAGGAAGGGAAGACGTCCTCGCACAGTTGCTTTTATAATTTATTGACGAATAATCAGCGACTGGGTAAGTCTCGCTGACTTAAATTAGCTCGCAATAATTTCTAATTTCGCACAATTTCTTTACTGCATGAGTAAATCTTGCTCGATTGCAATGTTCGATTTTGCCGAACGAGCTATAAATTTGCCAATTCGACCGATCCATTTTCTCCGTGATGTTAAATTATTGTAATCGAAATAAGATCATTGATAATTTTTGCAACCTCTGCCACGTTGCTCGATTCTGCGTCGGTTCTCCTCACAGTCGCAATCGCCTTCGAAGCTTTGTGTGCTTCACTGTATATTTGTTGCATCCCATCTCGCATTTCATCTTGCGTTTCGTAGACTTCATCATAATGCGCCTCTTCATGCACTTTGTCGTGTATCTCGTTATATGTCTCTTCGTGCGGTTCGTACGCGTCGTTCAAGTTCGGAAAGTGCTCGTACTGCATATGCGAGATATTTAATTTGTGCAAATAAGTATATAACAAGTTTGTGGATCGTTCATTGTACAAACCCAAGTAGCCAAAGTGACATTCATATAATATTCGAAGAATATTACGCATTTATAGGGAATATTATATTCTTAAATATTAAAATCATAGTGCAGAAACATTATTTTTAACGTTTCGATCAAATATTGTTAATAATGATGTTGTATAACATTAAGAACTATATGTATTTGACAATGTCAAATATTATAAAATAACGTAGTGTTAATGATTTCTTGCTTACTGGGAAGTTTCAGAATTCAAGTAACACGCAATGTCGGTTTTTGAACAATCTCGCTTTCAAAATTCAACGCTTAATCGATCGAGTGGTCGAATGTGAGACAAATTATGTTTACGGGATGTATCCTGAAAACAGTGAAAGCGACATGGTGCTCCCGAAGATCCTCTGAACGGTTTAGGACGACTTTGACGCGCGTCCGCGAAGGATCGATCACGTCCAATTACGGGAACGCGGGTTACCTACCTGCGCGTTCTGCAGTTTACTTATTTGCTGACGGACCAGACGGACCACCTTGCATTTCGCATGTTGACAGTTCGCCAGAAATTGCACGAAGGCCGCTTGATCGTCCCGCTCGTCCTCCAGGTAACGGCATTCGGTGCACGTATGCACGTCACATATCATCTCCGTCGATGGCGTATGAATAATACCGTATAAATATCGTATAAATAATATTCTCGTTGTGGTGTATCACAGAACGACTGATGTGATTTAAGAAAATCATCTTGTTTTCTAAAAGCGAGTCCGCTCTCGTGGCGGCTGAAGATACGAGCGAGTCGAAACGCGAAGTCGAGCGAGTGACGCGCGATGTCGGGAAATGTTCTACCTTCACACTCAAACCTTCACGTGAAAATACAGTCACGGTCTTAAGAGAAGTTTGAATTTTCGATCGATGGGATTTCTCATCTATAATAAATTCGAAGATGCAAGATGCGCGTCGTGCGACCCGTCGGAGGGATTTTAAATCGAGCTAGAGTTTAGATGAAACACCGATTATGCACCGAATCCGTTCGATGTCGACGCGTAATAACACGGTACGATAATCGATCATTTCCCACTAATAAGATATATACGTAAGATAAATTCTCGATGTAAAGGACGTGAATCAAATTATCGGGAGAAATCGAAGTAACACAATCTGATTCGTAGATCGTGCTGACTGCGTGTTCGACGAATGTAAAATTAAATCGATCGCAAAAATGTAAGAAAGCCAATTACGGGGGACCGTCTGAGCATCGATTACAAGGATGTCTTGGCCTGACTTTTGTGACGGAGTGAAGAGATTTCGACGCAAATACAAGCCGAATATATATATTTTTCTACACTATTATTACTTTATTTTCTTTTTAATATTCCAAGAACATTTTTATAATATGAAGAGAGTAAAGCCAAGAATATTATATGAAGCGGACATATAACATCAATAGAACATTCCTATATAATATTAAAAAATACTACATAACATTCTTAGAATATTATAGGGATATTATTTTAATATCGAATAATATTCATATAAGATTCTAGGAATATTACGCGTTTATAGGGTAGTTTTGAAAAGTTCCATCGTCGAGATTTCCTCTTAATAGTTTAAACCGCTTTATCACCGCTACTTTATAGACGCAAATGAAACATTCCTATTCGCGTTTATCGCACTTCCTGGCGGATGATTCCGCCCCTGCAAATAATCGGGTTCAAATTGCGTCCATGGAAGGTGTTACAAGCTGTGGTGACTCGTAGCAAAATAACCTGCTGCTGAAGAGCAATACATTGCGGTTGCATTGTCCTGCGGTTGGCCGCGCGTCGGGCCGCACCGACAATTTCAGCTTTTACGATCTTTCGGCACGACAAGTGCGAAAATATCGCTGCCTATACCGCACGCAGACTTTTTGTCGTATTATCCGCGTAAAGAGCGCAGCCGTCGCCGTAGCCGCGCACAAGTAAGAAGATTGCTAACGTAATGGTGTTCATATTCGCGGATATACAGGGTGTCCCGTAAGTCGAAGTCAATCGCTCAGGAGATGATGGAGGAGCCAAAAACAAGGAGAAAAGTCGACGCGAACATTAGTCCGGAAATGCGTTGTTTTTGAGTTATCGCTATTTTTATGTTGTCACTTGAAATCGCTGTGTTTCGAATTTTTCGTCAAAATTTTAAAAAGGCCAGGGTTAATACGCGAGTTTTATAACATAACTAATGTCAGATAAAAGTTACGGGCTGCTTCAGCACTACTCAGGATGCACCACGTACAGCCCTCAGCATCCTTTCGCAGAGATTAGAACCTCACAGTTCGTCACTCCTGCTGGCTGTATCTCCACGTGGTGCATTCTGGGTAGTGCTAAACCAGCAACCGTAACTTTTATTTGACTTTAGTTATGTTATAAAACTCATGTACTAATCATCCCTCTTTTTTATTTTGACAAAATATTCGAAACACAGCAATTTCAAGTTATAACATGAAAATGACGATAACTAGAAAACAGTGCATTTCCGGACGTATGTTCGTTTCAACTTTTTTCTTTCTTTTAGGATCACCTGAACGATTGACCTCGACTTACGGGACACTCTGTATAACTGCGACCGTTCGTTCGTTCACGTTTCGGTTTTCACGCGGTCAGCCTGGAATTTTAGTAAAAACAATGTCTCTACATTTGTTACTCGTCGCCGCATCTTATTTCATGCTTCCGCAAACGCAGCGGACCACGTAAAAAATTGCGCACAAATTTCATCTCGATTCGAAAGACGCGAAAGACACACCGCGCGGAAATGGATGAACGCGTCGACATGTTTCTTTGTATCTTTGTTTTTTAAAACATCGGTAAGTATCCGTTTATAGCATCTCCAGATGAAAAAGTAACCCGTATAACGTCGTATCTCGAAATTCTCCATTAATCTCTCAAGTTCAATGACTTACAGGATTAATATGGAGCAAATTTCGACTTGGGATGAAAGTTTCGGTAGGGATTTTAGAACGATTAATGACGAGCTTAACGACAGTTATGCAAAAAGAAAGATGATTTGTAATCAATTGCTCGACGAACACACAGGCGTTGTAACGTTAATGCCGCATCGCGAAAGAAATCGGGAAAAAATTCCAAAGACGGATCTGGTTTACGTAGAGCCC